TTTTGCGAGATCTCGCAAAAGTCCGTCTTAATTTTTTTTTCCCCCATGTCACCTGCGGGGCTACGTAACAACTAAATAACCTTCCTCATTGATAAATAAATATGATCAATGACTTAGATGTATAATATATAGATTTTTTTCCAGTGGACAAATGAACATATTTTGCTAACATGTCAGTTATGCTAAATGTTTCATTCAGTGTAGCTGTTTGTTTCAGTGACATTTAGATTATAATGCAAAGCAATGTTTAACAATCTTAAAAATAACTTTTAATCAGAGTCTTTTGATCAGGAATAACAATGCTGGACTAAACTAAACTAAACTCATCGTATTAGCTGTAGCTGATGTTAAGTCAAAGCTCAGGATTCTGATATCACTAACAAATTGCATTATGGGACAATTGTCTGAGTTGTAAACATGGACTATACGGAGACAGATGTTGCTTCTGGGTTTAAAACTTGGGTAGTAATTGTCTACCAGTTGCTACCATACTGGTAAGTAATAATAGTAACACATTCAACTGTTTTATTCACATTCAACAGGATTTATGCTACACACCTTAGATGTGACAGTTATCTTTGCTGTAGCAACATGACAGCACAGTCAGAATCAAAGAGACTTTATATGTTTCTAAAAAAAGGGTTTAAACTGACAGAGTGACACAATCAGCTACAGAGTAACATTTCAGTGAGATATCACCTCTGTCAGTGCGCCCCAGGGCAGCAGTGGCTACAACGTAGCTGCCATTGCCAGTGTGTGAATGTGTGTGTGAATGACTGAATGTAGTGTAAAGTGCTTTGGGGTCCTTAGTAAAGCGCTATACGAATGCAGGCCATCTACCATTTATCAACTTGTTTTTAAACAGTGCATCTTGGATCTGGAGAATTTTCACTTGTTTCATTGGCAGATTTTTCACTTATTTCAAGCAAAAATATCTGGTATTATGTGAAAAATCTGCCAAGTGTGGTCACCATAAACCGTGAGATCAGTATCTCCTATAAATAAAGTGAACGTAGTTTGGCTCGTTTAAATGACACTCCTCGTTTGCTTTAGATTCAACAGCCACTACAGCTGGAAACAACTTAAATAGAAAATATGATATTGTCATGAACTGGCTGTGTGGAGGCAGATGAGGACCCAAACGCAAAACTCACGGAGACAAAAAGCTGAACTCAAAATCACTGCTTTATTGCAGGCTTCACAAAGAAACAGAACTAAACTGGGAATGCTAACTGAGGACCGAGGGAACACA